TTTTCGTAATACCTCTAAACTAGTCTTGCTTTTAGACAATACAAAGATTCGTCATCATAAAGCGAATACTAACCAAAAGCTGCACAGTCCTGCTCATGCCATTTTCCATACAATCAGACGTCTCCCTTACAAGTCTGTACTCAAAGAGATGCCCTAAAAGGCGATCAACTCTCTCGATAAGTTCTCGCCCGCCGCCTTCCCACAGTTCCTTGTCCGATCTGTTTGAGAAAAAGTTTGAATTATGAGTCACCTAAGTGATGAACAAATAGAGCTGCATTACGAACTGGCATTGACTTGTCAGGATCTTGGTAAACTGTTCTTGGAATGCTCTTGTTCCTCGATCTTGATCAACTAGGCTGTCCAGCTGGGCAATCAGCTCATCCGAGAACTAAAGAATGAGTTCATAGCAATATATTCTAGAAAAGCAGCTGAGCTAATGAGAAGCTGAGTAAAAAAACGAAAATTATAGTCAACAATGAGACTTTGTTCTCTTAAAATACAAGAAATGATCGACTAAATTATCGAATATGATTCATTGTAAGATGAGGAAAAAATTAAAACTTACAGACTCAAGAAAAGATCCAGAAAAAAAAAACATACCTTCTTGAAGTTCTTCCTATCCTCCACACATGAATGGAACTCACATTGCATCATATCGAAGAAAATCGGTATTGTTGCCTCTCGAGTCTCATCGTCTTCTACCAAAGCCACTTTCAGGAAGGCTCCAACAAGTCGCGGGATGTAACCCATTTTTTGAACAGCTAGAAACAATTTCATTACATCTAGGTCAAAAACGATCTCGATACCTACGTGTAAGTCGGAACCACATCGATCTCAGATCACGAGCAGCTGCTTTTCTTAGTTGTATTCGAGAATCTGCCTCGTCGCGAAGCCATTCCTCATTTGACTGTAGAGAGGGCTGAGTTACAAAGCATACAGCCGTTAGCATATATTCTTGCCAGATCTGAAAGTAAAAGGATAAATCCTAAAATCCATAACTACAGTGAAAAAGGCTCACATCGGAATAGAACCGTTCTCGTTCGTTAGAGAAATATCCTTGGATAGCATTCATAAGAAAACGCAGCGCCTTATGGACGGTCCTAAACACAA